TCACGCACACACAAAATGACGCAAGCACGCTCGTATTTGCGTCGTTCTATGTGTGCGTGATTGTGCCCTCTTGGGCGCTGCTTCGTCGAAACTGATCGCGGTTCACCAACTTGTCCATCAGTACATATTAAGCATGAAATCTAGTTATTTTAGGTTTATGCAGCCTTTAGGAGGGTCTATAAAGAACTGCGTTGTTCTTTCCCAGCTGGTGCATTCACAACATTCATTGTGTTTCCGTGAGTGTCTCTATCTAACTCATTATAAAGGAGTATAGCTGTCACCACACATTGTTCTCCATCAAGTAGTACCGAAAACACAGCAAGGAGCATCACGTGAGAATCTTGAAGCCAAGGTAGAGCCTTAACCGCGTCACCAAAAAGGATAAAGGAATTCAAGTGGACGCCGGGTACTAAAGAAAAAGATGGAACGCGAGATTCTGTAATAAAACAAGCTAGCGTTTCGTGGCTGAGTGGCCTCGGCGTACGCCTGCCGCGCAAGATCCCGCTTGTGCTCGTGATGGTTCTGCGATTTGTAGGAAAGTCTGCGCAACGCGCTAGGTATTTTTGCCGCGCTCACTCAGACAGACTCCACCTTCTTATGGTTTATTCGTGTGATCAGTGTTTTTTTTTTTCTCGAAAACCCGCCCTTGGGCATAATAACTGCGGAAAGCACTCGCTTCCTGACTTTCTTTGAACAGCGGAGCCATTAAAGGCCAAACCTCATAAGCGCGAAAATGCACGCGACAGTGATGAGCGATGCGACGTAGATCGTCTTCGCGCGATCAGTCGCTAGCGCAGGCAAACCTCATTGACGCGACGGCTTCGGCGAGCGAACTCCACTGTTGCTGGCATTAGGCCGTCTACTCGCACCAAAAAAACCGCGTAGTGAGCGGTACGCAATTTAAAAATAAGATATATTGTTGTGTAATGGAACGAAAAGTGTTTATGACTGCCTTGCAGCACTTTTTTATATGCACAAGCGTAAACATTGCGTTATTTCTTGTCGCGCATACCTGACTTGGGCAGGGTCACGTGCACCTATGTAGTCTTTGTCTTTTCCGGTTTTTCGCTATTGGCTGCTTGAGCCCAGCAGTTCCGGGCGATGAGCGACGGTTTCCAAATCTGAAGAACCGAGCGATCGCGCGAAAACGAACACGCGACACGTCGCGCGAACGCCCTGTTTCGTCGCTCATAGCGTCGCTCGTCGCTGTCGCGTGCATTTTCGCGCTTGTAAGGTTTGCTCTTAAAGGTTTTTGTTGCGCCGGGAAGAGCGACCATCAATGAACCGGCACCACCTCACTTCGTCTTCTTCCTCTGCTGCATGGCTCCTCAAACACGTGCGCCGATTTGTCCGCCCGTGGAGCGTACTATGATAATCGAGAATGTTACGCGACTTAAGATTCTGTAGCATTACGGAACGACTAGTCACGTGACTCAAACCACGTAGCACCACGTAATCTCGAGTAACGTGATTAAGGGTCCCTTAACACTAGGTAAAAGCTTGTCGCGGGACTAAAAATTATAGGACGAAGTCCCACGGTACTCTCGGGGCTAAAATAACGTGGCATAAGGCAGTAACCAGTTTGGTCACTGGAATTTTTTTTTTTTTGAAATCACGTAGCATGACATAACAGCTTGTGGTGTTGATTGTTCCCGCCACAACCACGTGGGACACGCGTGGTGCGGGGAGCCGACCAAAGCAAGAAAAAGGATAACCAAGTCGTATTGCTAGCAAAAACTTAGCATCTCAAAAGGTAAGCATCACTAACGCTATTTATAAAAAGCTTCGCTGAACACTACCGCTGTTGGTTCCAGCATTTCACCACTATAGATCAAGCTGTGCTTACTTTTTTTGTTCGTTTTCCCTACCCCCAGTGTAGAGTAGCAGGCTAGAGCAAGCTATCGCTCAGGCCGACCTCTCTGCCTTTCTGTAAATAAACATACTTCCTTCCTTAAAGCGAAAACATTAAATGTCTCATAAAACGCGAAAATAGGTCATGATCACGTCATCACATCAAATCATCATTTGGTTGAAAGCGGGCCGATGACGGAGGCAGTGGAAAACCAGATGACGTAAGGAAAAGCATGCAGAACCACCGACTTTGGAGGCAGTGTGAAATTGTGCTAGTCGCGGAAAGCTTTCAAACACGTGTGAGAAAAGGTCAGTAAATCAACTGAGAACAGAAAGAAGATAGTTTTCGCCTTCGCGTCACCCTAAGCGAATGCATAGAGGAGGGCTGTGAGAGTATCCTCTCTTCAAATGATGATGACGTGTCTCTGTTACGTCTACATCATCCGCCATTGGCATCTGGATTCACTCTGCCAATGTCACCCTCTCTGCCACTCTCACTCACTGCACCACATCTACAGCCACTGAACTGGCTGCACTAAGGGCTGCCTTTAAGCGTATACATTGTGAACAACACAGCTGAGTCCTGAGTCATCTTTACGGATTGCAGTCTAGGGTCATCTTTACAGACTGCAGGTCATCTTTACGGACTGCGCTGCAGTCACTGAAGTCTCCATGCACGCAGGACCGACTCTTCAGGGACATCAAACGCTTATGCGAGAAAGCTTGCGACCTCCATCACCGCATTGTTCTGCAGTGGATACCTGCCCACTTCAGAATACAAGGTGACGTCTGGGCTGATGGCGCGGCGAAAACTGGACATGATGCTCCGGCATAAATCGTCAAGATACCTTTCTTGAGGCAAGACGCAGCAACACTAGTGTCGGCACACGCTTGACGCCTCCAGCAATCCCTCTGGAAAGACCCTAGCCATCAGTACTATGGGCGTCATACAAGATCAATTTGTCGGGTCAATTCAGTATGCCTCGAGACTTCAACAGGCAAGACGGAACATGTTTACACCACATGCGATTAAACGTCGCTTGTACGAATTACTTCAAGAACAAGATCAGACTGTCAGACTCACCATTTTGTATACAATGTAACGTCGTAAAAGTCATCGATCACGTCCTCGGTGAGTGCAAGATACACGCATCAGAGGACAGTCTTTGCAGATGGCCTTAAAACAACGGGACAAAAACCTGAAGTTCACAGATATTCTAGGCCCATTGCTGAACAGCTCCTGTGCGTTACAACTCCACAACCGTGCTACTGACATTCTTATGGGCCACAGGCCTGAACGAAATATTGCAAATAGTGTGGTGCGTGCGTGTAACATGCATGTGTTATGTGACTGTTATGCACGTGTGTGACTGTATAGGTTATGTGTTTATCACTGTATATATCATAGCCATCGCCCGGCACCTGGAGTAGCATGTCGAGTGAAAAACCAGGCAAACTTCTACAGCTCTCTATTAAAGTAATTCTTGCTCTCTCTTCTCTTCCATCATGTTTACATTTTCAGTCTACGTGAAATGTAACGCGAAAAGACTACGTATCATTTCAAGTGTGCAACAGGTTGGACAAACAGTGGGTATGGAGGAGAAAAATGCGAGAGTGGATTCATGAGGGGTCTCTCCTAATCTCATATTTTTCAACGAAGACCAGCGCATCGTTATAGCGTGTTATCTTATCTCGTTCAGGTAAAAATGGACTGGCAACATTAACAGCTGACACAAAGTAGGTGGCTCGCGCATTGATTAGATCAGACTGTCAAACACACGGGTCATTGTCTAACACCATGCAATGTTCTTGAACGCTACTTGACAAAACAGACATGTAGCTTAGATTTCACGATGCCACTCGTAAAATTATATTTTATTCTCTTGATGTGCCTCGTCGCCGTAACGGTATTTCGTTAGGGTTATTTTCTGCTCGCAAATTATTTTCACCCAGTGTTCTGATTTGATTTGCTCGTTAGTGCACAGCATAGTTTTTGCATGCAACAGTGTGTATAAAGCCAATCACAGGCCCCAAATGAATCGATAGAGTAACGATTTCATTGTCCTCATGTTTCCTTATTAGCACTTTTCAGGAAGTCAAAAATGCCCTTCTGCATTATCAGTGTGATCGCACCGTGTAATGTTGCCCAGATAAGATAGGTCATGCCAAGTAACTCAATATCATAGAAGACATCACTCCTTTTTCAGTACGCTTTATTATAAAGACATGTACTATTATTCGCACGCGTTCCGCTTGCTAATTACACGTCCCTCGAATAGGTTGTGCAATGCGCATTAAATGTTCAGTATTAGGACATACTCAGAATTTATTTATTACAGCTAAGAAGATGTTTTCCAAGCCCGATGCTAAAGAGTGGCGGGCCATCATCAGTTCTGGCTGTTAAGTGCCTATTTGCTGCCTCCCCTCCATCTCGAAGTCAACTCACGTTCGCAGCCGCACTAAAAAGCACTCGGTTGTCTTTGCTTTTCTAGCTCAAGGTATCTCACTGGTTCGGTTGCATGCCTGGCTCGTGCCGTAAAAAACCTCGACGATTTCGAAGGCTGCTTGTGAAATTTAAGAAAGGGCTTTACGTGATATCGCATTCCGTTCTTATTCAATTTCACTTAAACGTTCCACTTAACGCAACTGTATTTTTCATTTCTTTTTTTTCTCTCGTGGTCTTTTCTTTTTATCGTCACAAAAAGTGGAAGCAACGATTCATTCCCAGATTGGGTTCTTCGAGCTCAGACATCATCCATTAACCTACGAGAAAATCCCGCAGAAAATATAGGCCAGTGTAGGACTTAATTTAATCCAGATATCAGTTATGCACTAGTGCATACTGCTCATATTCAACAATATCGGACCATGCTTGCGCAGTGAGTGTTAACAAAAGTTGTGACACGATTCTTGTTTGTACATGTCACTAATGGCCACGCTTTTTCAACAGGCTCATTTACGAAACAGATATTTGATCTAACGGGAGTGACAATGTAAGAAACTGAAGAAAATCTACAAGTAAGCTACCACCAAAAGTACTTGGGCAATAGAGACGGCCAGCAATTCAACGTCGACAAGCCGGAGCATGGTGATATCGGCAATGTCTTTCATCAACTGCATGCGAAACTTTTAAAAAATACTTAAGCAAGCTTTTACTTGATGATTATCTGGGTGGCGTAATGTTTACTCCCCCTCTCGTACCCGAAAAAAAACTTTCTGAGTGCACGCCCCTGGCTCGCAGCCTCAGACCAGGATTCCGAGCACAGTTCTCGTGAACAGACACAAAAATAAGAATCGAAAAAGGCTTCTTCAAACTAAAAAAAAAACAGCCAACTAAATGTTTCACTTTGATTAAGAAACAAACGTTTTCTCTCTATCTCTCAGTCCACGCGGGCGTCGTTAGGCACCACTCAGTTTTCGACGAGTTCGCGAAGCCTTGAAGACAGCGCGATGACAAGATCCTTGTATTTTGGCGAGTTCGCCACGTTGCTGTCCTCGCGGGGGTCAGAGTTCAAGTTGTACAGTTCACGGGCGTACACGTTGGTCCAGTTTCGGCGGAAGTTGGTCGCGTCGAAACCAATCCACTCCGTGTAGCGGTAATCGCGCGACACCATTGAGTAGCCCATGATGCGGATGTCTCCGAGCACTGGCTGATCGCTGTTCAACTGCGGTGTGGCTGAAGGCCGTGGGTACTGGTGCAGCACCTCCTTTCGTTGCACTGGATTAGCCTGCGTACAAGGGCGAGAGAGTCGGGATCATCAAGAGTAATAAAGTCGTCTAGAAGATGCGAAATTTTAAAATTGGAAATGTATCTGGTTTACTACAGGATAAACTTGCACATTCTTGAGTGATATGAGAAAACCAACAGCATCAGAACCATCTAATGCGGAACCATCAAAATTTACTCACAACAGATGCATTGAAGCTCAGGCATACTGTAATAATCAATCACTATGCTGAAACTATATCGAAGTTTCAGTGGAAATCTTGAACACAGATTCTACAAACCATTCACTTGAAAGGAGAACAGCTTGAACCTCATAAAAATTTTGACGTGTGAAGAGAGGGATATCTTGAGAGCATGGACTTGATTGAATTCTTTGAATGGGTATTTTTTCTCTCTTTCTGTGCTTAGCTTCTCTGTAGAGAGTCACACATTCTTTTCGAAAATGTCATTGCTAGTGTATAGTGATATTAGACCTTAATTTAAGAAAGATTTACTGCTTGTGACGAAGAAATAATGTAACGCAATGCTTAACACAGGTTTCTGCTTTAAAATATTTAAATTATTTAACTCGTAGAAAAAAATTCTGTGCAGTATTGAATACCGAGGTAGCTTGTTTGTTTTTCTTTCTTGTACGTGGAATCGCTTCATATTCACCGTCACCCCAATAAATTCGCAACATTAAGAAATGCCGAAGAAGAGAAGACTTTTTTTGAAAAAAGAACAACACTTCGTTACATAATCTTTTGTAGCAAACCTATAGACAATAACCAAACTCATGGTCTTATTTAGACACCATGACTCGCCATCAAATTTACATTTGTGTGGTTAACAAAAAGCAGTGTCAAAAGCCTTAAAGACACACGTTGCGCAAGAAAGCAATTTTTATATGATAACAAGATTGATTGGTTCTGCAACGTTAGTTTGCGAGTTGGGCGTTTGCATTGCACTCGAGTTGCTTCGGTCGCTTCCTCGTCCTTCTCAAGTGTCGGCATTTTATGGTGAATTAATCATCATCATCATCATCATAATCATCATCATCATCATCATCATCATCATCATCATCATCATCAGCCTCACTACGTCCACTGTAGGACAAAGTCCTCTCCTATGTTCCGCCAGTCAACTCAGTCCTGTGCTTGCTGCTGCCATTTTATACCCACAAACTTCCTAATCTCATCTGCCCACCTAACCTTCGGTCTCCCCCTAACCAGCTTGCCTTCTCTGGGAATCCAGTTAGTTACCCTTATAGAACAGCTGTTATCCTGTCTACACGCTACATGCCAGGCTCATGTCCATTTCCTCTTCGTGATTTCAACTATGATATCCTTTACTCCGGTTTGTTCCTTGACCCACTCTGCTCTTTTCTTGTCTCTTAAGGTTACACCTACCCCTTTCCTTTCCATCACTCGGTGCGTAGTCCTCAACTTAAGCTGAGCCCTCTTTGTAAATCTCCATGTTTCTGCTCCGTAGCTAAGTACCGGCAAGATGCAGCTGTTATAAACCTTCGTCTCGAGGGATAGTGGCAATCTACCTCTCATGATTTGAGAGTGCTTGTCAAGTGTGCTCTACCCCATTCTTATTCTTCTAGTTACATCAGCATCGTGGCTCGGCTCAACGGTTATTACCTGTACTAAGTAGACATATACTTTTACAACTTCTAGTGCGCTATTACCTATCTGAAATAATACCAACTTGCTTAACTGTCCGTTGTTTTACCTGACCGCCTCCATAGACTGGCTCTATTCGATCGCTGTGCTCACCAAGTTCACACCATCTGTGCAGGTCGTCTCACTCAGCGACGAATAACCAGACGACCGGCAGCGAGGAGGCGCAGGAAGTGACGCCAGGGAGGCCAGCGTGGGAAATAAGTCTACCAATGCCACTGGGTCATCCACGCGTTCAGCCACTTTTGCTGGTGACAAGCTCCTTTGGGACCTTGGCGGGGAGATGACCAAGGGTACGTTCGTGGCCACTTGGAAGTTGCTGAACTTGCTGTACTCCTGGTGCTCACCAAGTGCCCATCCTGGAAGATCCAAGAGTTCAGTGCACACCATGGTAGTACGCATGGGGCAGACGTGAACAGCAGTGACCACTTGTATCCGGACTTAAACTACACTATTGTGGAAACCTTAGATTCCTCTTCAAATGCGAAAAGTGACCATTGGCGTCGTTCCCACTAGTGACACAAAACATTAACATCGTGCGATGACGTCAGAATGGAGTCACATGTCCTTACAACGAGCGAGGTCAATATAAAGCCTTCGTGACATCACATGGCATAGCCGTTTGGTTAAGGTCCATGGGGTGATCAGGAAGCACAGGAAAACCACGTGAGGTGCAGAGTGCCCGATATGTTTCTTCTCTCGGACGTGGTACAAAAGCACACTATACTCGGCGACAACTGTCTGTGGCACCACAGCCAAAGCTACGGAGGCGGAGCTTCTACACAGGTGTTACTAGTAGTCCGTTTTCGTGCGATTTCGGTTTCGGTTTCGCAGGGGAATCCAAAATGTACATTTTCGCATGACCACCATGCAATAAATCTTACATTCATATGGGAAGAAATAAAATTCATAAAATGTTATTTATAGGGGAAAAACACGAAGCTTCTTTGAAGCGTTGATACTTATTCTAAAAAAAAAAGGTATGGCCGAGCAGGTACTGGGCGGACGATTGGAACAACATAAAGTCAAAAAACTATTTCCCAAATTTCAGTGTATACTTGGTCGGCATCGTTGTTTTCCTTCTTTTAGAGACGCTCGCGTTATTTTTTAGGGGTTGCGAAGGCAAGGATGGAGAACAGAAATCTTGGCACCGATCGGTCATGGGTGGGCGTCTGACTTTCGTAAATTCGAGTTGATGAAATGCAATCTTTACTCGGCCAATAACGATATTTTTGCACAGTCAAGAGGGTGATAGACATCAAGGCGTGTGTTCCCAGGCAAAGCGCAAGGAATGACATCCTTCGTAGGCGCTGATGGGAGTGGTGTGGCGGTACGCAATCTTCGGAGTTATCGTATCGACAATATTAGGCAGCCGAAACACCGACCACGTATGCAACGAAATTTAAGAAAAGGGTAATTGGTTTTACGTACAGTTTCCAATCGCACTTTTTCTTCCAAGCAGCGCTGGTGTTCTTGAAGACTGGCAGATCGCCGGTGTCACTTTCAAGGTGGCTATAGCGATTGTAAAGTTCCACTTTCGCAGATGATATCACTTGCACATAAATTCTCAGCAATTGTAAAAGCGGAAAACGAAATATTTCGCGACGCTCCACTGTCTTCGTTTCTCCCTGCTTGATGAATACAGATCACCTAATGAACACGCACTAATTCTCGCTGACAAGCTTCGATGTGAACTTGCTGCAACCGAGCGAGGCCATCGCTGTTTACCAGGGCAAGGAAAAAGTGAAATGGCACCTGAAAACCAGAAAACTAGAAACCGCAAAGGCATACATGGGTGATCCTTTCTGATAATATTGTGAACAATGTGGAACATATTTGCCTATTTTCTGTTTATATTTCTCATTATGCCAGGCAGCATACAATACAGTTCGTAGACTACAAGCAGAAGCGTAGTAAAAAAGGGCGTGCTATAGGGATTCGTAGCATTGGCTGTGCTGCCACAGAAAGTTTTCACCGAGTATAGGTGTGGAGAGCTTTCGGGCAGAATTAGTAAAATCTAGAGAAAAGAAAAAAAAAGACGACGGCTTTCACATTATTGTGAACCGAGTAACTTTATTTTTTCTGTGCAACACATTCTCGTATGGCTTCCGTTAGTCGATCGAACATTCGTGACAGCAGCGTTCGATATGATTGCCGACATATACTGACGTCGCAAACAGCACGTGCATGTGCTTAGGGCGTGTTCACACTAGGCTTTAAAGAGAGCGAAAGCGACGAAACTCTACGGAAACTGGCTCGTTTCTCTGCCCAAGTGGCTGGAAAACCACGACACGCGGCCGGCGTGTAAAAATCGGTCTGAGACCGATTTTCCCGCCACACGAAAGCGGATCCGGTTTATGTTTGTCTGCGCCAGATGAAAGCACGTGGTGTAACCAGCCGGCCGCAGATTCGGCATGGCGGCAAAGGCGTCGGCGGTGGCTCGCATCGGCTCAAATCACAAACTACGCGTGCAGCACGACGAAGCTTGATGGCCTCAACGACAACGCGTTCATCGAGAGCCTGGTTTGGATTACGATTACTGGTATTCTGGAATCGGACGGTGCAGCAGCGGCGAGTCATCATGCTCCAACCTGTCTCGCGTTTGTGTACAGCCAGCTGAATCCGCCGCCGCCACTCGTGTCGTTTCAGTTGGCATATCTCCTGAAACAACGTTTGAAAAGGTGCGAGCTGTTTCTTTTGAGTACATTGAGCGAATAACTAGAATTTGATATAAAATTTAGTGCTCAGAAAGCAGGCAAAATTGAATTATTTTCCGCGTTGCGATGTCAGCGGTGGCGTCATGGGGCAGAACGAATGTGAACGTTCTCGACGCGCGTGGTCGTGGTCTTCCGGCCGCTCTTGCGATTTCGTTTTGGCCTCGCATGTCAAGTGTGAATGCGACCTTAGGGTGACTGGCACAGCCGGGAGGTGAGCGCTGATGGGGCTCGACCACCTCCGTTGCTAAATATTTTAGCGATTTCGTACACACCTACACATACAAGCTCACGCATATAGTATAGTTAGCGCATACATATTTAGCATAGTGTAGTTATATATTCCCTGCCTTCCCTCTTGTTGTTTATCCTATCCCTAGTAGTTATATACTGCACATATATATAGTTAGCCACCCTCCCCACTTCTTGAAAACATATCTCGCTATGCTACTGCTTTCAGCGTTCCTATTCACGCGCAGCTTTATTGCCTTACGGCAAAAAATGCACGCAACTATTCGTGATCCTCTTCATATTTTTCTTCGCAACTTCTTACGGCTTCATCATGTGTGGTGCTCAAGGCTTCGAGTTTCAGCTTCCGTGACATCACCCACAGCCACACACTCACAGCCGCCTGGATCTTGTGCATGCATCGGTGCCGCGCGCGCCCGATCCAGGCAGCCGTGCATCACCAAAAGAAGGCAATAATATTACAGAGCTTGCAGCAAAGCATAATGTTATCTAAAAGCTATAACAGATGATTAGATGCGAAACATTGTTGTAAGTCCTGAGGGACGTTACTCAACGCGCAGCGGGCCGCTCCCATTCTTTCTTTCAGCTTTATCAGATTGAAAATGAACATGCAAATAGCTTACCGTGATCGCCGACGAAGACAATTAACGTGTCGTTGCGAAGACCCGCTTTATCGAGCGCACTACAGAACCTTTCCGACTTGCTTGTCCATGTACGTCACCGCAGCGTAATAGTGTTGGCGTATTTTTTTCTGCAGATTGGTCAGGTTGGGTAAAACAGGTTAGCACTACAAATAAAACAAAACGTTCATAGTTATTAAGCTTTCAAAGAAAACTTCAAAATTAGCTCAAGTTGTGACTTGAAAGCAAACAGCCATATTTTTTTTCGGTAAAAACTTGATAATGGTTATTGGAATTTGATTTGATTGATTCATATGTGAGGTTTAACGTCCCCAAAACCAACATATGAATATGGGCGACGCTGTAAGGGACTCCCCGGAAATTTCAAGCATCTGGGGTTCTTTACGTGCATCAAAATCTAAGCACACGGGGGCTCAAGCATTTTCGCCTCATCTCGTTAAACCTTTAAAATGAAACTTGCAATTCATATAAAATTTCATAAATGCCAAAGTGTAATGCAATGTCACAACACCTGCTTTCTTATTTCGTTAAAGCCGCTGTTTCAAGGTTAATGTGCAATTTTATGACCATGCGCGTATCAGTTTTCACATGCGAAGCAACTTTTTGACTAGCGTGCGTAGCGCTGTCCCTGCGTACGAACGCGCCGCACGCCGTAGGTGTTGGCGCGGTGCCAAGTAGGTCACACTACTGCATTCGCGTCGACGTCACACTCCTGTCACAGTGCGCGCTGACGTCACTCTCTCCCACGCCTGCCGCCCGCTTGCCGCGCGCCCGCAGCTGCCGCCTCCACTGTTCACCCACAACACCTGCCGCGATTGCCACTCGCTACACCGCTGACTCATCGGCCCACGCACGATAAACCTGACATGTGCCTAACGTACGCGTCGAAACATGTCTGTACGTGTCACCTACGAGACCTACGCCAGCCATTGCTCCAAACAAATCTTCCAGTGCACACCGGAGCACCCGCGTTGGCGCCGGTCAACCCATGATGCCACTCATGCGCAACGCTGCTGATTCGCATCCCACAATGGTTCCTTTTTGGGAGATGGACCAATTTGTATCAAGTTTTGTCATTTCTTTTCTGTCAAGCTATTCCACCGAACACATTTTTACGACATTCAAGCCTAACAGAAAACCTGTGTCATGTCTGCCAGATGATGTAGATTTCAAAATAACTTATAGAGAGCTCAAAATATAAATAAAGACCATTACTGTATAATTTTCACTCGAAATGAAGGAATTAGTTGAAACGAGTCACTAATTCTTTTTCTTCTCTGAACCCTCGGGAGTTGCCACTGATCTTATGCCAACGCACCTGGAAATCAACTGGAAGAGGGCCGTATGGAAAGCTGACGTTCAGGAGGACTGGCATCATGACGTCTTCGCACATCAGTCCAAGGATTCCATGCCACAGGCGGCAGGTCAGCGGGAAGCTCATGGTCGGGTGGAAGCTTGATGTGTGCAATGGGATATAGATCTATGATAATGAAGGAAATATATGCTAAGACTGAGACTTCGTAGGAATTTTCGCCACTACTCTAGGTAGTAGCGCCATGAACGACTTCAATTGTGTCACGTTTCCTAACAGACACACACACACACACACACACACACACACACACACACACACACACACACACACACACACATATATATATATATATATATATATATATATATATATATATATATATATATATATTTACATATATATATTTACATATATATATATATGTTCAATACACATAAAACTACGAATTTTGATTAAACAGTGAAGCTGTTGGGTTGGGTATAAGTTCTAAGCTGGTCGTTGCCGAACATTCTTGGACGGCTTTGAGGCAATGCAGAGAAAGTATTAACGAACGAATGTGCGACCTTCAGCTTTCCCATGATGTCTATCACCCGGCCCTCATCTGCACACCACCTGCTTCACTCCCGTCATAGCTCTACCCTGTGCTTTCCACGTCTCAACCCAGCCTCGCCCACCTTCTCGATACCCTTTCTAGACCAGCCTCAACTCGCTACGCTAGCCTTACTCTTCACACATTCAGCTTTACCCATGCTGTTCTTCGCTTAAGGCATCGCCTCGCGGTTGTGTTATAAAGAGCGGACAACGGATTCTTTTGAACAGCTCAGCTGTTAGAAGACGAAGTCTTTGGGCATTTATTCTTTCCAGATCAAATTTTCTGAGATTAAATCCCCAGGGAGACAAGTCTCCTGAGGACTAGTTACTCCGCTGTCAACAAACGTTTCTTTTGAACGTGAACTTGTCCCGGTGCGTGTGTGAGAATGAGAATTTATTAGAAGACAGAGAGGTCGGCCTGAGTTAGTTCGCTCAAGCCTGCTACTCTACACAGGGAATAAAGGAAGGGGGAAGGAAAGATATATGAAGGATGATGATGAGGACAAGAAGAGGTGATGCGTTTGTACAGTAGCCGCTTAGCATAGCACCCTACAGTCTAGTATCTAGTCTAGTGCTTCCTGTAAAGTCTAAAACAACATTTGTAGCAGTTTTTGACACTGTTTGGTCGTCCATTGTAGATAACATGTGGTTTTCACTCAATGGCGTTCACCCGATGCTTGGAATTTTGAAGTTAGCATTTTTTTCTTTGCGCCATGTATAGTGGGCAGTCACAAAATATGTGAGCTAAGGTTTCGCGCACTTCTCAGCGCTCACAATTTAGGCCCGGTGCGCTTTCTATTAGGCTGCAGCTCATTCTCGCTTCAGGCTGGTATCCCTAGTCGAATGTCTCAAAACAAATGCCTATGTTAGTTTACCTTAAGAACTTGAAGCATAGAAATCACGTTAGGGAGGGCGGGGTGCACATGCGATATGTATTAAGTTCAACTCATGGCCACCGCTTTTCTGAATGATATACCCGACCGGACTGTTTTTCTTTTTTTTTACGAGAGTGCTAGCAATGGTATTATAGCAAGAAGGATTGATAAGTAAAAATGGTGCGACAAATGACAACATGTTTGTTTTAATGTCGATGTAAATTACCTAAATTTATCACTGTAATTGATGCAAAGATACATGGTGTAAAAATTATGACTATGAATATTGAGGTGTGAAAACATCCAGGAGCCCATTCACTACTGGGAATATGGCAGGCAAGCGAAACTTGTCTTGTGCGTTTTTCGCCTGCTGTCTTTCTTTCCTTCTTTCTGTCACAATGTACAATGCTATCTTTCTTTCACGTTTTTTCTTCCTACATGCCAGATGCCCCGCCGCGGTGGTCTAGTGGCTAAGGTACTCGGTTGCTGACCCGCAAGTCGCGGGCTCGAATCCCGGCTACGGCGGCTACCTTTCCGGTGGAGGCGGAAATGTTGTAAGCCCGTGTGTTCACATTTGGGTGCATGTTGAAGAACCCCAGGTGGTTGAAATTTCCGGAGCCCTCCACTACAACGTCTCTCATAATGATATGGTGGTTTTGGGACGTTCAACCCCACATATCAATCAATCGATCCATGCCAGATATTGGACCTTCATTCACACGCTTATCAGTGCAACACGCCACTCGCTACAGGCAACAACGTCCGCCATGCGTTCACATCCAAGCAACAACGAAACGTGGCAACGTGAAATGACAAGTCACCATCTTGAAAGATGATAGCCTTATCAGAAATGGCTGATAATCGACAAGCGTACGATTGATAGAATATCAGTTATTGTAAACTGGTGCATACGACTATTAATTTGATCGGCTCACTTTCTAGGGCTGCACTTCTATATTATAGCTTTTTTCTACAAAAAGCGCTGCCATCACTGAAACGTGTAACTGATGACGTGGTTTATTGAACAAGATGGTTTACCCAAAGTGTTATACACGACGCGAGCTTGAGTCCATGACACCAAGTTCTTCTGCATCAGACGCAAAGCGGCTTCTTCTGGAATAATCTAGCTGCTTTGACCAAACTTTAGGAGTACACTTATCTGCCTTCTTTGCACCGTAAAATGACGAATAGAAACAACCACAAAAAGTAAATAAAGATAGGGATACTTACCTAGGTACTCTTTAGGTATTCGGAAAGGAATGTGGGGCTTGTAGAAGCCTACAGCCAGGAAGAATGGCATCTGTGGGCTGTTTCCACCTTCTCTCGAAGTCCACTTGCTCAAGAATTTTGTCGCGACTTCAACGTTCTCAAGATCCGGCAGTGTTTGTAGAGGTTGTGTGGATACGTTCACGGCACACAGAAGGTTGGCCTTGGGGCCACCGCTGGGGTCAGGACAAACCTAGAAGTCACGTAGAAAATCATACTCGATACGCAACTCATACTCCATATGAAACACTGTGAGCTTTAACTCATGCGCTATGAAATTTCACTACCTAAACTGAAAAAAAAAGAATAAAGTTTAAATGGAAATAATCCTCTGTCTGTGATCAGCTAAAGTGAAATGACAGTAATGCCATGGTGAATTGCGAAAATTATGCTAACACACATAACATATGTTGTGACACCTTACTTATTATCTAAGCTAATTCTGTAATAATTGAGATGTTTGTTCTTTTACCTTCTAGTCCGATGTTGAATATCAGAGAAAAAAAATCAACAGTGCCGACGGCCTCTGTGAGCTTTAGAAAAACTAAGATTTGTAGCTGCGTTTGTTTGTAGGTCATCAATGTAGACTCGGGGTACACAAAATGAGGCAAGTCTGTAAGAACTAAACTTAGTCAATATGAACAGTAGACGAACGAAGGCACCACGTGCGTGTAATTAGTCTGTATAATTAACAGCGACATGTCAGCGAATGTTTTGATAAATATTTTTTATATAACAAGGCATTCACTGCCATGTAACTGTTGATCATACAGACGAACTCTACAAATGTGCTGCTTTCATTTATTATCTTGTACCCTTGGATCATAGGAACGTTAAAGATTGCATGACGACCACGCACCACATGCTTGCTTTTGACACTTTTCGTTGTGTAACAAAGATTTCACATTTTCGAAGCGCCCACCGAGGAGTTAGTAACAGTGCATAGACAATGGCGAAACGGACGTGATTAGTATAGACGCTAAGAGCGATATTGCATCAGCAGCCATAGCGCTCTTTGCATCCACTTATCCTACCCTTTTTTTCTTGTCGCATATGCACTGTAAGTAACGTCTCAATGGCTTGTTACCAACAAAAGCAAGCTTCAGTTTGTAATACTAGCTCAATTTCATGATGTCACTGCAGAAGGGCGCCCTTATTATTGCCGGTGACGTCGGAATGGGCGTGAAGTATATAGAGGGATAAGTTTATACACAATTATATGCGGTGTTTTGTGGCTCCAGGGTCATTTCATGTCCAAAGAGTACTATTTGAGCACCAGCTCATTTCACAAATGATTTGATTGATATGTGGGGTTTAACGTCCCACAACCACCAAATGATGATAAGAGATACTGTAGTGGAGGGCTATGGAAGTTTTGACCACCTGAGGTGTTTTAACGTGCACCCAAATCTAACCACATGGGCCTAGAACATTTTCGTCTCCATTGAAAATGCAGCCGCTGCAGCCGGGATTTGATCCCGCGACCTGCGGGTCAGCAGCCAGTGTACCTTAGCCACTAGACCACCGCGGCGGGGCCTCATTTGACAGAATAGCACAATTCACATGCGAACAATGTTAGCGGTAAGTGGCTGTATAAAGGCCTAAAATTCAGCGCTCTATAAGTGTGTCAAGCATATAAGCAATAAAATGACGAGAGGTATGGGAAATGAGCCTAGTAAGAATTCATTGCATATGATCGCGGCAATCAAATTATAGGGATGTCATTTTAACGAATGCCTCTTCAATGCCCATGTGTCAAAGGGCTCCAAGCCAAGTGTTTTCTGAATGTAGCTACCACGGCAGCTACCTTCTTTCAGAGGTCATGCAGGATGGCCCGGGTATACGACGAGAAAGCAATGAATATCCCCTAAAATCGTGAACAGTGACCTGTATTTAAAAATAGTTTCTTTGTCTGTGAACATCCCAGGGTGCTGCGGAATTTGATTTCAGTAAGATTACGCGAAGCATTTTTTTCTCACAAGATCTAATCTACTGCTCTGAATGAGAACGTGAGGAATATTAAGTGGTTCACCACTTATATTCCACAAGGGTGGTTTGCCAACGGACAAACGGTATAAGTGGGCACTGTTTGTATCCTGTTCTTTGTCTGGTAAGTGCTACTTCGGTGCGGGTGACAATGGAGAAAATAATATGGTATGACTTTGATATGACCTGCCAATTGCCAATATACGACCTGATTGCATGTCAGTAACTGCCCTCAATAGCTTTCTCAAGTGTTTAATGAGCACACGCTACACGTGTACCCATTATAATTGCTACGTCATGAAATGACGCCCCCACATCACTTTAGTGCTAACGAAAAATGACGCTGTGACGGAGAAAGTTACCAGGTTTGGGTTATATATTTTTGTCTCTTGCATAGAGCACTTTTAAATTAATAAGGGAGTTCTTGTAGTTCATAGAGGGTTAGAAGGCCTCAGGTGTTTCACTGTAGTGTTTTCACCTGCCTTTTAAGCACATTACGGTGCTGTGTGTCCAGTAAGATGCGAGGTGTTCATGCGGATACTTTCTGTTTCAGGAAACGGGACCATCATCCTGCCCCATTATTTCGCTTTTGCTTTCTTTGCGTGGTCACGAGAACTGCGCCGCCCTCTCGTCACCACATGAGGTGATACCCTCTCGTCACTAGATGAGGTGATAAAGTGTGCGATTCCTCCTATAGGAGCCGCTGGATGCCCGCACGTCTGAGCATGTGGCTTGAGATTTGGGCCTTGACCCATGACACGAGGCGTTGTAACCCGATCACCCTGAAGTCACCAGCCCCTGTTCGCACGTTGGCGGAGTAGACTACACTACTGCCGCCTTTATCGCAGGTGCCATAGCCGATGGCTCGCTCTGAGCAAATGAGTGGTGCGGGTCGGTGCGTCGTCTCCGCCCGGCATGTCGCATCAGTATAGGGCGTGGTGTGGAAAAGTGAGCCCCGTTTTACGGGCCTCTTTGAATGACATGCCCTTGAGAGTGATCGTGTCCTTCTCCCGTTTCCAGTTTGGACAGGAAGGCAAGAAGGCAGCGTGATGACCGTCATAGTTGATGCAGTGAGCTGTGCTCACACGGTTGTGAAAAAAGTGGCTTTCGCCTTGACATATTGCACAGCACTACGGCAGTTATGTGAACCCTGGCCAAATCGCTGATATTTAAAACATCACCTCGAATTGAGTATGTACGAATGGACGGCTAGTTTTATGTACCCAGTTTCAATCGCTTGTGGTATATTGCACGGCTTGTGGTATATATTAAGGTGTTTAGTATATAGTATTTTCGGTTGTAATTTCTTTGTTGTCACGTCTGATGGTGATGCGTTTCAGAGTGGTCACGTTTCGACAATTCCATACTTTTGAAAATTCATTTTCAGACAGTTTGAGGAGTACTATTTTTGACGCAACCCCACGTGAGCTGCTAATTGATATACATTTTGAAACAGCTATTCGAATATTGCCGAAGCTTACAGCACAGCTTTTAAGTTTTATATATGATTGGTTTCGAGGCAAATTCAGCAGAAGGTCTCGGCTAGCAATTTCAGTCGCCTTAGAGTACTGAAGTTTCAGACCAAGATTCGGTACGACAAATGGGTAAACCACTCTTCTCTATTTTTTTTTTTAAGTTTTCCCTTTGTATAACATGTAGTTTCAGATAGGTGGCTCTGAATTGGCTAAAAGGGGTTAGCTCGTCGGTGTGTACCACCTTGTGAGGATAACATTTAGGTAAACGGTGAATTCAAGGTGTCTCCATAGCGGAATTGTATATTTCGGTAGCACTGGCGGCCACCCACCATGAAGTCCAACTAGGGGACGTTGCAGCAGTTAACATGTAAGGCTGCAGACGCCGAAGGTACAATGCCGCTCTAACCTATTATATCATATTCAAAGCTGCACCCATTTAAACGGTTATTCCAAGCGGCCTTCAAAAATTGTAAGTAACAGAAGAGATTAGAAGACGGGAGAGAAAAATATTGGACAGGGGAATGTGAAATGGCGACTACCAATTTTTTTCTGTGTAGGTGAGCCCCGGGGTGCCATCTACGAGAAGCCGGCTGAAAGGGGAGTGTACCTTTACAGGAAATACTTCCTGTAATCACACAATCCACATCCACACAATCATCAAAATACCCTTCTCCCTGGACACGGCTAAACCACGCACTGCTAGGTGTGGGAAGTGGCCGAGACCGCCCCTTTAGCTCGGTCTATGGGGACGCTGCTCACAAAACACCAGCTTGCTGCGCAGACGCCCCTGTATGTCACGGATTAACGTTGGAATTCCCTTCTGATATTCTGACTGTGGAGTAAGATCGCTTTGAAAGGAGGTGAAGAACGTTTTACCTCTTTGTTCTCGAAATAGAGCGACTTCGGAGTAAATGGCTTGACAGACCAGCTGTAAGGGTAGTCCAGGTGACGGCCAGTTGGTGGTCCTGTAGATACGAAAATGCATGACATACTCTGAATCTCATCGAGTAAAAGATTTGTTAAATATATCTCGAATGAAATACGGCACATTTTGATGATTTTCAAAAGATTGTCTCTACCTATTTAAGCACTTTAGGGGAAAGCTTAACGCATAGGAAAGTAAACATTTCCAGATTGGGGGGGGGGGGGGGGGGCGATCACGTATATTCGAAACATACATAAACACACATTCGTGCACTACGCACACCTTTGTACCTTCCGTTACCTAAGCTGCACCTGATCTCGATCCTGTTTCTCTCTTTGACATCGCCCCTGGCGAGTTCATTTGTTGTCTCTAAGCTGTGTTTAAAACACATTTCAATACGCATATTCACTCTAAGCATTATAGGTTAGGGCAAGTTTGAATCACAGTAAAATAAACATTCCTCTCATACTGGTAAAATATTTCAGCGACGCATTGTAAGGGCTGTAACTACGCTAATCCTGTGCTTCCTGAATATCCACGTATGTTCTCGTAAACAGCTCTGCAGATTTGTACTCTCGCGTGAAGTTTTATGGGTATTTACTAAATGCATTTAAAATGCATGTTATTTGGCATCCACCTTTGAACTTCTGATAATTTCTTTGTTATTGATCAGTAGTGTACTCTCGATTTTTCATTTGTGTTTTTGGCTATCTATTAGAGATAACCGTATTTCAAGTAGCCAAACATACATTATCTGTTAATCGACAGCAAACGTGACCCTTTGTAGGCATTGCATCAGGTGCAATATCGCCATGACGAACCTGGGTGAAAAACTTTGCCCACGCTGGCAGTGTGGTAGCCATGTTCCTTGAAGTACTGTGGTATAGTGGTGAAGTTTCCCACAGTGTGGCGCCAGTAGTGGCAGTGATTTTCGTAAATGCGAATGGTGTCAGGCCGGCGACTCGTCAGGAAGGATGTCCTACTTGGCCCGCAGAGCGCTTGCTGAAAGACAGACGGGGCGTGAGTCTTAGAACAGTGGCCACCTTTTCCTGCAAGCCAGCTCAGGAAGGCATCACTGATGGACAAATGAATAGAAGGTTCTGACTAAGACTTCATTTCGTATTAAGATAAGATGTTGAAAGTGAGGTTGGAAGTTCACAGCGAACATGAAAGAAGCCTAATGAAAGGTAAGAACTATTAAGTATCGGTTGCGAGATTACAACGCGTTGTCGATAGTTAGACCGTGCCATCATCGTGGTGTTACCTACGATGGAACTACGGGATTACCAAGAACTCATTTGCCATATTCTTGACATGCTGAACATCTTCACATCACATTATCCTTTCCATATGTAAGCAGTGAGGGTATTACACAAAACACTTCTTTAAGGTAAGCAGAACACACGTGATCACGCAGCTGGCTCACGCAGCCGGGTTCATCAGTAGCAAAAATCTTGGGTCCATGGCTAAAAGAAACCGACAAGCCACTGCTATGCGTGCAGTATAGTTCACTTTCTGGAACAATCAGAAGTATCTCAAAAGTACTAAATCAACAAAAAGAAAATGTATTGGCCTTATTGTTAACTGGTATGTTTCACAAAAATATCTTTGTGAAAACCTTTGTGAAAACAGTGCTGTATTAAGAGATATGATCACCTTTCACATTTTAGTGAAATTTCATGTTTTCTGTGGACATTTTAATTGCGTGATTACTTGTGTCTTTCCAAACTCTGTGTGTTGTGGACACATTTCTGTAATGAAAAGCTAAGACACAGTGCATAAGTGTTGTGCTATGTACCTACGTATCGCTTTGTGTGTGTTAACTAATATGCGATGTCGACTGTTGTGCAAGCGAAGAGGAGTATAGCCGGCGCCGCGCATTGGCGCCAACCTATTCTTACATACATTTAATTTCAAATGAAAAAAAACGTCGTTCTAGTGGTGTCAAGGCTGATGGTAGTGCGAAGCTGAGCAGCTTTTATCGTTTTCTCTTCTTTTTCTTTTTTTTCTGCTCCCTTTCGTTCTTTTTGTAGTTTCTGGTTTTCTCCGTCTTTTTTTACTATATTTACTTCTGTCTATTTTTCTAGTATTTCTTTCTCTCTTTCTTTTCTTGTTTGCTTTCTCTTATTTAATTTTTGTACATGGTTTTACTCCCGAATTACTTCGCACATAATATCGTCATTAAAGTCCTCGAAGAAGTAGAGAAGTGAAACTTCACCTTGGCGCGAGCACATGCAAAGACGGCGATGGTTTTGCCTGCGTTACGACAAGCGACTAACGACATCGCACGATCACAGCATACCACAGCCCGGCCTCCGAAACTGATCCGCGTTTAAATAATGGCGCATATACTGAGACAGTATTTCCCCACGAGCAAGCTTGCGGTGAATGTGTCAACAATTACACGGTCGTCCATTTTCCTGATGACCAAAAAATTAGCAGGTTTCCCCTTCAAGGGGGTGAACGTACGCCTCATTGCCCACCCTCCCCCATTTTAAGTCAATGTATGGAGCTAAATTTGTGCCCCCCCCCCACCTCCGACCACGTGCACACGTATACAATTAATTGCATCTTTTCAGTGGCTGAGTGTATTCTACGGCATCTGGCGACCACTCTAAATGCTGGAGCATAGTAGGACTACAGGCGAATGCTTCGCTATTCCATGAGAATTATTCGTTATGTTAACATAGCCTTAATTTCGGTCCGCATGGTATGATGTCCCTTTAGGATTTAGCGCACGTTTGCCTTGAAACACTCATCTGGCAGCGGCAGCAAGCCAATCGGTACTTTACTATTCCGTGCATCCGCAGTGATTGCAAAATGTGGATGATTGCCAGCTCCTCTAACTCGCTATTCTGATTGCGAAGTACGCATGGCCACACAGGAAAGTAGCGGCGTCTCGCTAACAAGCGCTGCGATTCCCTCAACATCTGCCGAACGGACCAGATGATTTACTGCCCTGCGAAGATTTGGACTGCTGCGTAAAAGGCAAGTGAATTCCTCATTTGCAGTAGCGAAGCATGAATATCGCCTAGACCACTCGTTTGAGCCCTTATAGTATTGTTACGAAAGTCAAACTATGTGAAATGCAAGATAAAAAAAAGTTTCTTGAAGAGTACAGGACCAGTTACGCTGACCAGAACGTGGGCAGGTAGTTCAGTGATACTAGTGGTCAGCGTATACAATCTGTTTCAAAGATTGTTGGCCACGATTATTAAAAAAAAGACTTTTAAAAATGAAAGGAAAAAAGTTGACACATGGTATTTTGTATCTCGTATGAGCACGTCGTTAAAGATTATCCAGTGACGATGAGAGAAAGGAGCAGGCATGTCGCGAGAGATGCTGTCCGTCAATCTATGGCAAAACTTTTAGTAAATATTTTAATAGTCTCGACTGTGTATTTTTCCTTTATTGAACTCTGGTTAAGATATCTGGACAGTGTTGGATCATTCGTCAGGTTCAGCCAGTATGCCCTTTCGGTGCTCAAATTACCAGACCTACTCTTAAAAATGACAATCTGAAAGACATAGCAATCTGGCTTTGTGCCATGTATGGCATTCCGTACAATGAAGGATATTTTTCAACACATTTATTCCTCCTTGCGCACGATGATGAGGCTATGAGGAAAGGTCGCAAGGCTGTAGAACAGTGCGCGAGTTTAATGAAAGCATTGCTTCTCTTCATGATTTTGTCGCTTTATAGTATGAACGCAGCGCACTCCTTTCGAACCATCTCTTCAATTAGTCAACTAGAGAAGGTGTTCTCTGAATGTATTAACATGATATAACTCGTGCATCAGCAGGCTAATAAAATATTATCCACCACAGCCGGCACGAGCCGTTAAAGGACGAAACCTCACTGTGTGGATCGCTCGTTTGAATCGTCTGCTAGACTATCTGTTTGCATGTGTGTGTACATCACACGCGTTGACAGAGTGTATAGCTTATTCTGTTGTGTCGGCGCAGTGTCAAATGCTTGTGTGTATTCCTATGCGATATTCACAAGCATTGCACTTTCAGAGGCATGTACGCACTTTAATATGCCAGTGCATGCACGTGTTGGTATGGCAATGGGTGTGTCATTCATACCTAAAATTATTTCAATTTTAGCGCCACTTTGTCGTTCAAACATGCCACGTCCAGGTATACGACTACGTATTTGGCGTTCTTGTAAAAGAAGAAAAAAACTAAATTTAGAGCTGTGAACAAAGAATTTCAGTGACGCCGTCCCGTAAGGTGTTGGTTATTTCGAAATTCTTGTGATACTGCAAATCACAAAACTATTCTGCGAAGACCGTTTAGCGATACAAAAAGACGTCAAACCGCGCATTTCTATATCTTTACACGCATTCATGCAAACAGAAGAGTAGAGTGCACAAATTTCTACTTTGTCTATTTACGCAGAAATACAAACTCTCTCTATTCTTTTGTCGTAGCCGCTTGAACAAGAAGTAAATGAAAACATTGAGCACTGTGCAAAACACGACTGTGACCGAAAGCCAGCGGCCGATTGATTGTCACACTGCGTTTATCTCACATGTTATAGGAAAGTTAGGCCGACTTCGTGCATTAATTTGCCATTGAAGGGCGTAGGTAGTACCACGAGGCTACAGTCAACACGCTTTACTCGCCGACAATTAGAGTCAAACCACTCATAGCGAAGCGCATCTGCGTAGATTTGCAGACGGGGCGCCGACTGTCTAACCACTTTAACGTGGAGACGGCTACGTGAAATAATGACGGGCGAGTGATAGGCGGAGATGCCGAAAGCGAGTGAAGTCATTGTGCGAATAAACTCAGCCAGAAGTTTGCAAGGAGACTAGTACCATAGAATCACGAAAGCAACCTATTCCATGTGTGTAAACAGCGGTAGACGCCATAGACTTACTGAGGCGCTTGCAGTGACGTTGTGGCGCACCCAGTCCAAAGCTCGCCACCGCCCTCTACGATAGCGTTACAACTGGCACCACAGCTGCAAAGCTACTTCCGAGCACGTTCGTTGGGGAGACGGTGGCGAGCTTTGGGTTGGACGGAGCCTGCGCACCTACCTCTGTTTATGAACTCGTAAGAGTACTGCCGACTGCCGAGTCCATTTTTTCGTGCATAAGCGTGGCGTGCAATCTCTTCAAACGAAGGCCGTGAGTAAGGCCACTGGTAAAGTGCCGAGGCGTTTGAAGGCGATACGCTTAAAGCGCGCACTCGAAGTGACACGCGACTCGGCAAAATGAGAAGGAAATCGGCGCTTTTATTACTCAGTTATTTCTGAAAAAGCTTCCTTGAATCGCGTTGTGGCCACCAGGCTGGTTCATTAAATGGAGCTCATAATAGCACTCAACTGCAGGAGTAACTGCTGGAGAACCAAAATCTCTTCGTTAGTACGGGAACTTCGTAATATCGAGTTCTTCAGACTGAACTTGGGCTGAATAATATGGACTTCAGTGCACACAGACCAGACAACGTGACGAGGGGGCCCACCTAATTGAGTTTTGCAACCTGAGATTCTTTGATCTGCACCCAATAACAAAAACAGAAAGATTTCTTTAACACTTACTAATGAAATGCGGCTGTTTCAGGCCGGTTCGAAACCGATATGCCATATACTCAGCGAAGAGATGACACAGCCACTAATCTGCCGGTATGGTCACGTCGAAGGCGCCTTAATGCTACTCGGTTCGCGTAATCACTATAATTCTAGAGAGTATGCTTGATGTGATAACGGAGACCATTCATCATCATCATCATCAATATCATCATCATCATCGTCATCATCATCATCATCAGTCTGACTATGTCCACTGCAGGACAAAGGCCTCTCTCATGTTTTGTCAGTTAACTCGGTCCTGTGCTTGCTGCTGCCAATTTATACCCGCAAACTTCTCAATCTCATCTGCCCACCCAACCTTCTGTCTCCCCCTAACCTGCTTGCCTTCTCTGGGAATCCAGTTAGTTACCATTAATGACCAGCGGTTATCCTGTCTACGCGCTATATGCCCGGCCCATGTGAATTTTCTCTTCGTGATTTCAACAATGATATCCTTAACCCCCGTTTGTTTCCTAATCCACTCTGCTTTCTTCTTGTTTCGAAAGGTTACACCCACCATTTTTCTTTCCATTGCTCGCTGCGTCCTCCTCAACTTAAGTTGAACCCTCTTTGTAAATCTCCACGTTTCTGCTCCGTAGCTACGTACCGGCAAGATACAGCTATTATATACCTTCCTCTTGAGGGATAGTGGCAATCTACCTGTCTTGATTTGAGAGTGCTTGCCAAATGTGCTCCACACCATTCTTATTCTTCTAGTTACTTCAATCTCGTGGTTCGGCTCCTCGGTTATTACCTGCCCTAAGTAGACATAGTATTTTACAACTTGAAGTGGACCATTACCTATCTCGAAGCGCTGCTCTCTTCCGAGGTTGTTGTACATTACGGAGACCATTAGTTTCTGGCAATACCCATTCTTCGCAGATCTGCTTATTATTGAGCAAGGGTCCCCAACTTACCTGAGTTAGCTGGCCACTGCCACAAACTTTACTGGAACAAGTGCCGGCTGGCACAGGTAGGGGGTGCACTGTACAAAATGTCTGCTAACATTTTCGTGTGAAAGGTGACCTTTCCCTTTCCCTATACCCTATGTATATGGGTCACTTTTGAGGATAATTTTATGTCGGAATTCGAGCAATGTATCAATACCAGTTTTCAGATTCACTAAATCTGCACTTTCTTTTGAAATATAGCTTTTGTTTTATCGTTATATTTTGACGCGTTGACGGCAAGGAATGCTGCGTGAAGTAATTGCTTGAGAGCATTCATGTCTGCAGCTCTTGAACTAATCAAATAAATAAAAAACAAGCATGTGACAAAGTCAGTCATTTGCAGGTCGAGCTCCTAACAAAGGATTGGCAGGCCACGTATCTGAGACGTCTGCAGAAAGGAATGACAGTCATAAAAACCAAGAACGGTAGGAAGAAGAAGATGTAAAGATGACAAAGTCGTAAACAGAGGTTGTGTCAAGCCGACGTTTGGACACAACCCCTGTTTCACAGATTTTTTATAGCCATAAAACCTGAAAAACCCTGAAACTCGCCCTTCAAGAGTACAATGTACAAAACGAAAGCATTATCGCGCCCAGTAAAACCAAATACATCATTGCTTATTTGTTTGCATCTATCGCGAGCTTCCCGTCACGAATGATGCTGATTTGTCGCTCGCAACCAATGACACTGGCAAGGAGACTTGTGTAAAAACGAGCTCTTTCACATTATGGCATCACAACTGAGCGTACTACGTGAGGCAATTTTTTTTAAATTAAGTATTTGCCCTCAGCAGCAGAAGCAGAAGACATTCACCTTCGGGCTTTACTAATGAGCGCAATGCCATAGCCCCTTAGCAACAGTGCACGATGAGGAAAAGTGCCCGAAAAAAAAACTTGAAAAGCGCTAACGTCATAGACGATGTACAAATAAATACAAAAAAAACCTGGCGCTTGTATATGTCGTTTTCGTCATTCGCCCTTTTCGAGTTTTCTCTAATGATGAACCACTCACCCAAACCAAGGTACTTCTGCTGCCTGAAAAGCTTTGTGGTGTCTCAGTAGATGACTAATTGCTTTTGGCCACGTACCAAATGCGCTCAGTGGTGTACTGTTGCGTGTGCCAAAATCTCGCCCTCGCGTCAACCACAATCCCACAACTTCTGTATAGAACAAAGTGGTTTATTGAAACAACCTAAAGCAAGCAACCTGACTGTCCTCTATTCCTTCTCTCTTTATCCCTTTACGTTTCCACGCGAAGCGAGAAGGCTTATAAACTTGTAACGGAGCCCAGAGAGAACACGTTCGTCTATGGATCTTTCTGTCTGTGGTTCTCCTGCCAGCTTTGCCTTTAGTTCGAAATCCTGGCTTTGTGTTGAAGCGGCAGCACTGTGAGTATTCAGACGTGAAACCTTACATTGATTTGTTTTGTTCATAATACTGAATGTTCAGCTAACAACAGCTCGCTTCTATGTTTAGAGCCTTCATAAAAATGTATTCAAGCATGTAGCTTCCCATTGTATGCATAAAACCCCCATATTACGTTTCTGATAGAAATATAAGGAACGTTGCGAAAAAATAATAGAGTTTGTGAGATACAGATTTCCAAAGGGCATATCTTCTGTAAAAGGCTTTTCAAATTTTGTTTGTATTGTTACCTGTGCGTGTGCATTAGTGAAGAGCAGGCCGTCACGAGCCAAACTGTCAATAGACGGTGTCAGCGCCAACTCGTCGCCGTAGCAGCCCAAGGTTGGCCGCAGGTCGTCAGCAATAATTAGCAGGACGTTTGGCTTTTGGGTAGCTGGCAAAATGAAAGCAAACTAGTACAAGGAGACAAAGAGAGTAACAAAGGCTCCTACAAGAATATTTTATTCTACCCAACGAAAACGAGCTATAAATGAGAAAGATCGAAGCGGAAAAACACGGCACTTATTGGGAGAGATTACTGTCCAGGGGACATCAAACATTGAAAATCATGGTCACTGGCTCATTTGAGTATCGCAAGCTGCATAGCTCCCGCGGCCACCTCGGAAGGTCACCACGTACCCGCGTGAGTACTCGCAATCACACCTAAAGTATAAGCCGCCTGTTTGCAGAAAGAAAAAATGTGCTCAACGTCATGACGTAACTTCCTTGCCCCGTACTATCACTCCTTGTTCACTTTCCATCGCGCTCCTCGGGAACGGGCGTGCGTCAACTCTCGTTGATTTCGCTCGCACCTAATTGGCTGATTCGTGAGATTTTCGCAGTGGTCGATCCGTCAGGCAAGCCCTGCAGCGACTGGTCTAGTGGCTAAGGTACTCGGCTGCTAGCCCGCAGGTCACGGGATCGAAATCTCCGGCTGCAGCGGCTGCATTTTCGATGGAGGCGAAAATGTTGTAGGCTCGTGCGCTCAGATTTGGGCGCACGTCAAAGAACCCAAGGTGGTTGAAATTTCGGAGCCCTCCACTACGGCGTCTCTCATAATCATATGGTGGTTTTGGGACGTTAAACCCCACATAGCTATCTATCTATCTATCTATCTATCTATCTATCTATCTATCTATCTATCTATCTATCTATCTATCTATCTATCTATCTATCTATCGACCCATCAGGCAATAAACTTGTAGTGGCAGCTGCATCGGCATCGCAGTGAAGACGACGAAACGCTTGCTCTTGCGCAAGGCAGCTGCCGCTGCCACAGGCCTGCGCAAGCTGGCGTTCGAGTCAGTCATTAAAATACTTCTGATCACAGCATTCACGTCGGGCTCGCTCTCTCTCTGGGGAAGACCGAGATTTTGCCGGTCTGCAAGGTCGCACATTCGCCACAAACTCATTTAATGAGGCCATTCGATAGTTACTTGAAAAAGTGTGGCATGGTCGTCCCTTCAAGTGGCCAGTGCACGTGCATTTCGCTATATAAGGACTTCACGGATTACTGTTATTACGGCTACTGCCACGTCGCTGTTCTGTTTTCGTTTATAAACGAGCATACCATAGTTTGGTGCAGTTAGCGAATGGATGTCAGGCAGCTCTGTATCGCTCGGTGCCGTTTTTTTTTTATATAAGGTACTGTCGAAGTGGAAATGTTTTTATTATCAACCTTATTGCATTCAACCTTGTTGCCAAGGTTATTCAAGGATGTATATGTGTTTGTCAGAAATGTGATTTTTTTTACAAATTAAAGCTTGTCGCTGTGATTTGATAAAACCGACAATGTGAAAAAAGGATATATACTGTAGATTTACTATTGGCTCGCACTACTAAATGTATATTTTATTATTACGTGCAACCCAGACCATTTGTTTCTGATGTCTACAGGCAACAGTGCCCATGAATGCTCAAATACTTACTTTGAACGTTTGAAGTCATCACTTGATGCAAGCAGAATGATATCCAAAAAAACACATTCGCAGTAATCGCTAACTTCCAGCCCATATTGGCAACCTGCTCGCGGCACTTTTACGTTGTCTGCGGTGTTGCAATCTGAGCTGTGAACCTGCAATTTGAAGTTGAACGTAAGATATTCGGACGACAACGACCTTACACTTACTTAAACAGAGTAAAGCGATGCAACAAAGATAAAGTGCACCATTCGATTTACGAATATGTACATGGACACCTTTCTGAGCAGAAAATCATGCTATTATTCAGTTCGATAAAAAAATAAGTTTGGCGTGCATGTTAATTAGGACAAACGAAAGGGAGAATAGGATGTGCACGTATGTATAACCAATGTCAAATCTCAGGTGGCTGTTAAAGAGTTACTAACTGTCCTGTCTCCATGACATTTAAGCAGCCTAGTTGTTCAGGTAAATTATTGTATAAGCAATACAACCTCACATTGTTGATGAATTCACGGAAGATACAAATAATCACTGACATGCTTTCGGTGACAGCATGGTTATGCTAATAGACCTTCGGATATCGTAAACATCTCTAAGACTGCGCTCTGGCTGCCAAAGAGAAGTTGTAAACCAGCCGTAATTAGTGGCACCAGCAACGAATGACACTCTTGCTTCTCTTTCAAATACTTACGATCAAGCACTTCTGGTTTTCAGAATACACAAAGATAACGTTTTAAAAAGCATCGACCTGATACAGAACTGATGATTCACATTCAAGTTATGGGTTTTATCATCATCATCGTCATCATCATCATCATCATCATCATCATCATCATCAGCCTGACTACGTCCACTGCAGGACAAAGGCCTTCCCCATGTTCCGCCAGTTAACCCGGTCCTGTGCTTGCTGCTGCCAATTTATACCCGCAAACTTCTTAATCTCATCTGCCCACCTAACCTTCTGTCTCCCCCTAACCCGCTTCCCTTCTCTGGGAATCCGGTTAGTTACCCTTAATGACCAGCGGTTATCCTGTCCACGCGCTACATGCCCGGCCCATGTCCATTTCTTCTTCTTTATTTCAACAATGATATCCTTAACCCCCGTTTGTCCCCTAATCCACTCTGCTCTTTTCTTGTCTCTTAAGGTTACAGTTACCATTTTTCTTTCCATTGCGCGCTGCGTCGTCCTCAATTTAAGCTGAACCTTTTCATAAGTCTCCAGGTTTCTGCTCCGTAGCTAAGTACCGGCAAGATACAGCTGTTATTTACCTTCCTCTTGAGGGATAGTGGCAATCTACCTGTCATAATTTGAGAGTGCTCGCCGAATGTGCTCCACCCCATTCTTATTCTTCAAGTGACTTCAATCTCGTGGTTCGGCTCTGCGGTTATTACCTGCCCTAAGTAGACATAGCCTTTTACAATTTCAAGTGCAATATTACCTATCTCGAAGCGCTGCTCCTTTCCGAGGTTGTTGTACATTACTTTCGTTTTCTGCAGATTAATTTTAAGACCCACCTTTCTGCTCTCCTTGTCTAACTCTGTAATCATGAGTTGCAATTCGTCCCCTGAGTTACTCAGCCATTCAATGTCATCGGCGAAGCGCAGGTTACTAAGGTATTCTTCATTAACTCTTATCCCTAACTGTTCCCATTCTAGGCTTCTGAAAACCTCCTGTAAGCACGCGGTAAATAGCATTGGGGAAATTGTGTCCCCCTGCCTTACACCCTTCTTGATTGGTATTCTATTGCTTTCTTTATGAAGCACTATGATAGCAGTTGATCCCCTGTAGATTTCTTCCAGAATGTTTATGTATACTTTATCTACGCCCTGATTCCGCAGTGTCTGCATGACGGCTGATATTTCTGCTGAATCAAACGCCTTCTCATAATCTATGAAGGCTATGTATAGTGGTTGGTTATACTCTGAGCGTTTCTCTATTACCTGATTGATAGTATGAATGTGGTCAATTGTTGAGTAGCCTGTTCGAAATCCTGCTTGTTCCTTTGGTTGATTGAATTGTAATGTTTTCTTTACTCTGTTAGCAATTACCTTTGTAAATAGCTTGTATACTACAGAGAGCAAGCTGATCGGCCTGTAATTCTTCAAGTCCTTGTCATCTCCTTTCTTATGTATTAAGATGATGTTTGCGTTCTTCCAAGACTCTGGTACTCTTCCCGTCAGGAGCAACCTCGTAAACAGGGCGGCTAGTTTTTCTAACACAATCTGTCCTTCATCTTTCAGCAGATCTGATGTTACCTGATCCTCACCAGCAGCTTTTCCTCTTTGCATGCTCTCCAAAACTTTTCCGACTTCTTCTATCATGACTGGTGGGGTGTCATCTGGGTTACTCTAGTTCTTATAGTATTAAGGTCGTGGTTGTCTCGGCTACTGTACAGATCTTTGTAAAACTCCTCCGCTATTTTAACTATCCTATCCATATTGGTGTTTATTTTGCCTTCTTTGTCCCTTAGTGCATACATCCGACTTTTGCCCATCCCAAGTTTCCTCTTCACTGCTTTGACGCTTCCTTCGTTTTTCAGAGCGTGTTCAATTATCTCCATGTAATTATACCTTCTTACATCGCATACCTTACGTCTATTAATCAACTTCGAAAGCTCTGTCAGTTCTATTTTGTCTGTTGTACTTGACACTTTCATGATTTGACGCTTCCTAATTAGGTTCTTCGTTTCCTGGGAAAGCTTGCCAGTGTCCTGTCTAACTACCCTGCCTCCAACTTCCTCTGCACACTCCGTAATGGTACTCGTCAGATTATCATTCATTGTATCTAAGGTTGGTTAACGCTAAGGTTGGTTTGCTCACTAAGAGCCGAGTACCTGTTCTGCAGCGACACACTGAATTCCTGTACTTTCCCTCTCAGTGCTATCTCATTGATTGGCTTCTTGCGTATCAGTTTCTGTCGTTCCTTCTTCAAGTCTAGGCGAATTCGTGACCGTAACATTCTATGGTCACTGCATCGTACCTTGCCAACCACTTGCACATCCTGCACGATTCCTGGGTGTGCATTCATTATAAAGTCTATTTCTTTCTTATTTTCGTCATTAGGGCTCCTCCATGTCCACTTGCTGTTTTCTCGTTTTCGGTAGAAGGTATTCAAAATCCGTAACTTATTGTGTTCTGCGAATTCTACTAGTAGCTCTCCTATGGCGTTTCTAGTGCCGATGCCATAATCTCCTACTGCCTGGTTTCCAGCCTGCTTCTTCCCTACCTTCACATTAAAGTCTCCCATCAGTATAGTGTACTGTGTTTTTACCTTACTCATTGCCGATTCCACGTCTGCATAGAAGCTTTCAACTGAAGCGTCATTATGGCTGGATGTAGGCGCGTAAGCTTGCACTACCTTCATCTTGTATCTTTCATTCAGTTTAATTACGATACTACCACCCTTTCATTATTGCTATAGTATTCCTCTATGTTGCCAGCTATGTTTCTGTGAAGTAGGAGCCCCGGTCCCAGTTCTCTTCTGTATGCCAAGCCTTGATAGCAAAGGACGTGCCCATTCTGTAGCACCGTATAGGCCTCATCTGTCCTCTTAACCTCACTGAGCCCTATTATATCCCATTGAACACCCTCTAGCTCCTCGAATAGTACAGCTAGACTTCCCTCATTAGATAAGGTTCTAGCGTTAAACGTTGCCATGTTCAGGTTCCAATGGTGGCCTGTCCGGATCCAGAGATTCTTAGCACCCTCTGCTGCGTTGCAGATCTGACCGCCGCCGTGGTCCATTGCTTCGCAGCTGCTGGGGACTGAGGGCCGTGAGTTATTTGACGTATCTATGTGGGAGGTAGTGGCCAGATACTGCACCAGGGTGCAGGGTGGCCAATCCTTCTCTGGTGGGGGAGTGCGTTCCCGGCGGTGGTTACCGGTGAGGCCGCACCCCAGGCCTCTTAATGCAGTTCCATCAACACGCGAATTTTTTTTTTAATCCGGTTGGCAACTGCGCGGCACCGGGATTTGAGCCACGGACCTCTTGCATGCGAGGCGGATGCTCTAATCACTACGCCATCGCCGCACCTGAGAACGATCGGCGTTAACTTGTGCTATGTAATCGTGTCTTGAGGAGTGATGCTACCGATGCACTAGCGTGGGTCCTGCAGGTGTTGAGTGGATAGCGAGAGCCCAACACTCACTACAGCTGAGCTAAATGACTCGGCTTGCCAGATGCCTTACACAATGTTGAAGCATTACAGGTCACCACTTGCTAAATGTGTGGCACATAATTCAGCTATAGGCCAATCAGTGGTATCCAGAAAAGCAAATTTGGCGATGAGCACTCTCAAACATCATTGGTCAACAAGGAGCACGTTGGAAAACTGTCGGATGACACTTGCCACCAACTACAGGTTCCAAGACTACTGTTACAAGCAAATCACAGTTATTCCTAGACCAGCAGCAGTCACTCATACTTTGTATCATAGACTGTTGCACCGAATTTCCAAATGCATTTTCATTCTGTATGTTTAGGATAAAACATTTTTTTACAACTTCGCCATTGTCTTCCTAGCTGACAGTCACACGACGAATATGAAGTAACGACGAATATGTCGTAATGACCTTGCGTGCAATGCAGACTATATATACAGCCACTTGGAAATGGTTTATATAGTATGCATATAATATCGAAGCAACAGTACGAATTGAATTTAGTTTCATCTATATTTTTTTGTTTTTACAGTATTTTTGTGCAAAGAACTATTGGGCCAGTATCCCAAGGCTAGTATCGGCCCACAATCATTATACATATGGCAGCTGCAGCATCAAGTGCATATCTATTTTTGGGAATAGAATATTAATGGTGAGGCAAAATACGTGCACTCAAAATCAAATAATAGAAAAGACTGCATTCTGCAAAAACTCCAATACCAATAATTTAGTTCAGTATAAAAAGCATAGGAAGTAAATTGGAGAACATTCTATACACTTTTGAGGTACAATTTTTTTCACAGCAGGCGTGAAATGATTAGCCATTTCTACTTCAAAAGGTACTGCGTTCCAAGTTTTGGCGCCATGAAACTCGTTGGCCGTACGTGTTACGAGTGACTTGTAGGCTTTTGTTGCATTCCTTGTGTTAAGATCAGGTGCAATGA